TTACATGTTTATGTTTCAGCGCCATTTAAATTTGACCTTAGGAACTTATAAAATCATTAATTAATATATTATGTAATAAAATTTTAAATTATATCTGTATTTATATTTGTGTAATTTATTTTTTGTTCTCGATTATTATATTAATTTCACGTCTAAATTACTGTATTAAGATAAAATATATCAATTTAAAGAAATAGTTTCTTACTCTTTAGAATACAATAATTTGACATCACAAATAAATTTTTATATATCCTAGATGAAAGATTCAACGCTTAAAAGCTATGGTTGTCAACTCATGGAAAATTCATCGATGTTTGTCAATTTAACTTTTGCATCGCCAGAAGTGTCAACGTTTATGTCCTGTTCCGGCGAATATCACTTCGAGACGGAATTTATGGAGAACAGTGTAGTTACTGAATGGGGTTTAGTATGCGAGAAACGATATCTATCTTTTCTTGGGCCAACTGTTTATTACATAGGAGTGCTTCTGGGTGCATGGATCACCGGATTTTTAATTGATCGTATTGGTAGACTTCCAGTCCAAGCGATATGTCTTTATGTGCAAGGCACAATGGCGGTCGCACTCTATATTGTGCAGGTAAAAATTTCTTATCACGATATTAAAAATAGTAGCCGACAAATTTAGAATTTAATCGTTATATTTCTAGAAAGATGACAAAATTTATTTGAAAGATGAGAAAATTAAATTTACACTAATTATTCCATTTTTATAAAAGTGGTTTAGTGTTATTGCATTCAATTTTTCGTAATGAAACAAACGATTGATAATTCTTTATCAATTTTTTTCATGAATTATCTTACTATTCTAGATGTTGTGGATTTGATACTCGAGCAAAAAAAAGGAACATTTAATAAATTGATTACTTATCCTAATTAGGGATGCATCGGATTGTAAAATTACCGGATAACGAATACCGGATATCTGAAAAGAATGTGACATCAGATATTTGATATCCGATCGGGTATCCGGGATCGGATATAGAGCAATTCTTCGATCGGATATTTTCTGGATATCTAGTACAAATTCTTCAAAATTCTAAAGAAAGAAAAAATAGCGTTGATAATTTTCATTAAGTTTGTTCTTTTTCCGCCTCAAGTTCTGAACTAATGTACACTAGTGTAATAAGTTAAAATGAGATAGATATAATTTATTTTACTCTAACTTATTGCACTAATTCAGCACTAGGTCAGAATTCTTCGAAAAAGAACAGATTTTACACTTTTATCTCCTCAACATGAAAAGAAAAAGAGGAAAGATGAACTATAAAAGAAATTCAGCTGAAAAGAATAGAATTCTGCGTGAATGAAATTTTCAATATACAGTTTCAGTCGGATATATTGCCGATACAGTTGGATGTACAATATATAGTCGGATATAATATTCAGTGGGATACGGCTATTCGACCGGATAATATCGGATACCTTTCGGATATTTTCTGGTGCATCCTTAGTCGTAATGTATAAGAATTAAAACGAGAAATGTTAAAGGAGAGTAAAATTTGCGATTTTAGAGTTATCCTGCGTTTCTGATGTTACGTAGTCTTCAAGGAGTATTCGTTCAAGGCTTGCAGAATTCTACATATATTCTTTCCCTGGAATTATTTCCAGCGCGATTTCGCACTCTTGTCGCATTGATTATGCAGATTTTCTGGTCGATGGGTCTCATACTGCTCGCAGTACTCAGCTACGTGATTCCTGATTGGCGAATTTTGCAATTGGCTGTTTCCGTACCCACTGCGATCACTGTGCTGTATATTTGGTAAGGAAAAGAAAAAGGAAGGGAAGAGGAAGAAACAATCCACAATTAATACAAAAATAGAAAATCTTCAAGATACTTTAAAATCAAAAATTTTAAAATCTTTCAAATGTTATATTTATGTGATTTGTAATATTAAATAAATATAAAAATATATATTTTATACATATATATATTATACATATATATATTTTATACATATAT